CACCAATAACAGACTTAAAGAGAGCCAAATCAAGAATGAACTGCCATTCACAATTACTACAAAAACAGTAAAATACCTAGGAATACAACTTACAAAGAACGTAAGGGACCTCTTCAAGGAAAACTACAAACCACTGCTCAAAGAAATAAGAGAGGACACAAACAGATGGAGAAACATTCCATGTTCATGGTTAGGAAGAATTAATATCGTGAAAATGGCTATACTGCCCAAAGTAATTTACAGAATCAACGCTATCCCCATCAAGCTACCATTGACTTTCTTCACAGAACTGGAAAAATCCACCATGAACTTCATATGGAACCAAAAGAGAGCCCGCATAGCCAAGTCAATTCTAAGCAAAAAGAACTCAGCAGGAGTCATCACACTACCGGACTTCAAACTATACTACAAGGCTACAGTAATCAAAACAGCATGGTACTGGTACCAAAACAGAGATACAGACCAATGGAACAAAACAGAGGCCTTGGAGGCAACACAGCATATCTACAACCATACAATCTTTGATAAACCTGACAAAAACAAGCAATGGAGAAAGGATTCCCTGTTTAATAAATGGTGCTGGGAAAACTGGCTAGCCATGTGCAGAAAGCAGAAACTGGACCCCTTCCTGACACCTTACACTAAAATTAACTCCAGATGGATTAGAGACTTAAACATAAGACCTAACACCATAAAAACCCTAGAAGAAAATCTAGGCAAAACCATTCAGGACATAGGAGTAGGCAAGGACTTCATGACCAAAACACCAAAAGCATTGGCAGCAAAAGCCAAAATAGACAAATGGGACCTAATCAAACTCCACAGCTTCTGCATGGCAAAAGAAAGTCATTAGAGTGAATCGGCAACCAACAGAATGGAAAAAAATTTTTGCAGTTTACCCATCTGACAAAGGGCTGATATCCAGAATTTACAAGTAGCTAAAACAGATTTACAAGAAGAAAACAAACAAGCCCATTCAAAAATGGGCAAGGATATGAACAGACACTTTACAAAAGAAGACATACGTGAGGCCAACAAACATATGAAAAAATGCTCATCATCACTGGTCATTAGAGAAATGCAAGTCAAAACCACATTGAGATACCCTCTTACGCCAGTTAGAGTGGCGATCATTAAAATATCTGGAGACAACAGATGCTGGAGAGGATGTGGAGAAATAGGAATACTTTTACACTGCTGGTGGGAGTGTAAATTATTTCAACCATTGTGGAAGAGAGTGTGGCGATTCCTCAAAGACCTAGAAAAAGAAATTCCATTTGACCCAGCAATCCCATTACTGGGTATATATCCAAAGGACTATAAATCATTCTACTATAAAAAAACATGCACACGAATGTTCATTGCAGCACTTTTTACAATAGCAAAGACCTGGAACCAACCCAAATGCCCATAGATGATAGACTGGACTGGGAAAATGTGGCATATATACACCATATACATAATATTCACAATATTTGAATATTATGCAGCAATCAAAAACGATGAGTTCATGTCCTTTGTAGGGACATGGATGAATCTGGAGAACATCATTCTCAGCAAGCTGACACAAGAACAGAAAGTGAAATACTGCATGTTCTCACTCATAGGCGGGTGATGAACAATGAGAACACATGGACACAGGGAGGGGAGCACTACACACTGGGGTCTATTGGGGGGAATAGGGGAGGGACAGCGGGGGGCGGGGAGCTGGATAGCATGGGAGAAATGCCAGATGTGGGTCAAGGGGAGGAAGGCAGCAAATCACACTGCCACCTGTGTACCTATGCAACTATCTTGCATGTTCTGCACATGTACCCCAAAACCTAAAATGCAATAAAAAAAAAAATAAATTGACTACGTTCTTCAATAGAAACAGTACATTTCTGTTTAAGACTAAGTTCAAAACCCCTTTCTTAGTTAAAACTTTTACCTCTACCACTCAATGATTTTTCCCTTTAGTTACATTCTATACCACAGATTTTTATACTTAATTGCACAGTTGTTTATTTTCAACTCTTTCTAAAAGTCCAGAATCTCTGTATATAAACAATACGATTGATGAAGGGTGGGCAAAAAGATGGCATTCAGATATGCCTTAAAAAGTATTTTCTGAGAATATTTTCATTGTACAGAATCCAGAAAACGTAAAATGCTCCCAGAAGAATCCTACCACTTTAAGGCAACCCCTGTTAAGATGGGTGTATAGTCTTCTAATCTTAGGACATATATCTTTTTAATATATATGATTTATAAACCAAAGTTAGCAACATATTGTATATACTGTTTTAGAAAACATGTTAGTAGCACACCATAAACATTTTATTCCAATTGATATTCATAATGATTCTTACGTGTTGTAACATTTAAAATAAGAAGTACCTAAAGAAAAAGAGAATATCTAAAGAAAATTTTATAAGGGAAAAAATGTAAATCGTTAAGATGTGTTAGTAGAAATGCTAAAAATGATCAATTTCAATCTTGACAAAATTTGTCAACAATACCCATAGAGAAATCCCAAACAAAAATTTGTCTTGTTCAGAAAGGAGGATGTGAATCAGCAGTGGATTAGAATTTCTGCATTAACAACAACGAAAAAAGTTTTTCACTAGTAACAATATCTAAAGAACAAAGAAGTGTTAAATAAATAACAGTACACTTATATAGTTTAATACCATGCAAACAGTAAATACTTCCACAAACTGGCATGAGGAAAGTTATTAAGAACTAGAATACAAAACTCTAAAAATGATTTCCGAGTTTTAAGAAATATCTGGCTGGATGCAGTGGTGCACACCTGTATTCCTAGCTACTAAAGAGGCTGAAGTGGAAGGATCATGAGCCCAGGAGTGTGAGGTTACAGTGAACAATGGTTGTATCACTACACTGCAGCCTGGGTGACAGAGCAAGACCTTATCTCTAGAAAAAAAATCTATCATATGCATAGAGAATGAAAGGATATACACTATGTTTACTTGTAGTTCAGGACGGTGAGAATACAGGTAAATTTTTATTTTCTTTATACCGTTCTGAGTTTTCTAAAATTTCCTCAATAAACCACTATAATTGGAAAAAAAAACACATTACAAATTAGAGATAAAATATTTCGAAAAATAACGCCCAAGCCTGCCCTTCTCCATATATCTCTAAGCAGTAATTATGATAGAGTTCCAAGTAAATCGTAATATAAAAAGAATAATGAACATATGCCACGTGGCAATGTGTGTAACTGTACATACAGGCTGAGCATCCCTAATCTGAAAAATCTGAAATGCTCCAAAATATGAGACTTTCTGAATGCTGTCATGATGCCACAAGTAGAAAATTCCACACCTGATCTTGTGTTAGGTTGCAATCCAAATGCACAAATTAAGAATATTGATATAATTATCTTTGGGCTATGTGCATAACATGCATATGAGACATTAAACAATTTTCAGTTTAGACTTGGGTCCCATACCCAAGATACCTCATTATATATATGCAAATATTCTAAAATCGGAAAAAATCCAAAATCCAAAACACTTCTGGTTGCTAGCATTTCGGATAAGGGGGACTCAACCTGCATTATAAAAATTCGAAACGTTTTCAGTTTTCCTTTTAAACAAAGGTTTGTTGTGTATTTTTTTTTTCTTATTACAAGAACACGAACAAAAGTAAGTCTGAAAAGTCAAAAGTATAGATAATAAAAAGCACTCATAATCTTACCACTCGAGATAAATACTGTTAACAATTTGGTACAATTCTCTTGCTATGCTTATTTTTTGACATAATTGAGATCAGAAAGCATAGTTAATTTTTTAGTCTTAAAAAATATTTTAAAAACGATTTTGAGGATAATAGTTTTCGTAGAAAATTTGGAAAACAAAGAAAAGCACCCAAAAGGAGAAAAATTCTACCACTTGGAGTTATCTCCTCTTAACATTTAGTTGTATGCATTTCAACTCTGTAATTAAATGTATGTGTATGCTTATATGAACCCATACATATGAATGAATAAATGGATAAATAGGGATCATACTGTAAAAAATGTCCCTTAAGTTTTGGCTCAAATGCAACTACCTAGATGCTTTCCCTGATCTCCTAAGCCAATTTAGCCATCAAACCCAGCAGATTAAAATCTTATCACTTAGTTTTATTTCTTTATGTCATTTAACATGGTTTAACATTATTCTGTTCATTTATTTGCTTATTTGTTAATTGTTTTCTCAACACAAATGTAAATTCATTGGCAGGTTGGGCCTTGTTTATCATGCTTGCTATTAGGAAATATTTATCAAACAAATTCAATGAAGATTATTTTAATTATTATATTTTTTACTTTACAGTAGAACATAAACATTTCCCAATGTCATTAAGTAAGCCTTCTGATTTTTAATGACTCAACTGTATTAATGTTGCAGAAATATCACAATGCACTTACTAATAGTACTGGCTAGACATTGAGGTTGCTTTTAAAAATTTTACTATTACAACTGTGTCTAAAATTTTAGCACTCCAATTGCACCTTTGGGATGAATCCTTAAGACAAGTACTAGGACAGAGCTATTTTTAAAGAACTCTTTATACTATCCAGAAAAATTGTGACAATTTATATTCCTAATAGCAGAGTATGAAATGCACAAATTAATTTTCCTGTATCTTTGGCATGGTATTTTGGAAATGTTTGCATTATGTTAATCTGCATTTCTTTAATTACTAGTCAAATTAAAATTTCCTCTTACTGCTTTGGAGACATTTAATTCCAGGCATTTCAGTCTTTGACTTTCTCACCTTATCAGTAAAGAAACTCTAAAGCTTGCCCAGGAAAGAAAGGCATCACTGTTTTATGTAATTTTAAGTTGTAAACAGGGTGGGCCAGATAAGGAAATATTCATGCCACTGGATATATAACACCACCGAGGCACTGTCCAATTTTCTTATTAGCATTCCCATTTTCTTGGGAAAGAAGCCTCAATTGTACTCTTTAAATGACAGGAATTAAAGAAGAAAACAAAACTTACTTCCACTGTTTGATATACTGTAAAGGATTAAGGTTGCATCCTGCATCAGTTAAAGCTTTTTTATATTGCTCCAAATCAGCCTGAAATAAGAAAAGAACTATATGACAAAAATTTTTACTTTAATGAAAGATGTTATTTGTTGCCATTTGATTAATTAAAAAATAAGACCAAAGGCACGAGTTTAAATTCTTGGTACCCAAGTAGATTGATGTCTTAAATGAGTACACAAGTGAGCACTCAACACAAAAAAAATCACATATAATAAAAATTACCTTTAAGAGGCTCCCAAATCACCTATTAAAGTACATTATTTTTTAATCTCTCAGTAATTCCAACAAAGTTATTTTTTCCTTTACTGCTGGACTAGACTGCTTTTCCTCGGGACATGGACTAAATGAATGATTTGGTTTGACCAAGAATATTTCTAAACCAGAAACACAAGGGGAATGACACCAACTGAGGGTAGATTTGGGTTTCTCATCTCATTTTCATTCTAGGGGTCCAGATTCATTAACTGGACAATAGGTGTCCTGAACTTTTAAAATTGTTGCTTTTTTTCCCACTCTTCCTTATTCTTTATTTCCTGATAAGTCTAGCTGAATTTGTGTAACTTAAAGGAGCCTATCTTAATGATCACTTAAATTTATGAAAAGACATAAGCCTTACCAAAAGTAAATAAAAATAATGTGATTCAGTGAATAGTAAATTAAGTTTTAAAATCACATATTCTTAAGAAAAATACTTTAATTAGGCTACTAGAACCCCTGAGATATAAAGGTAAACACCTGTTGATAGAGAATATTTTTTTTTTTGGAGGTGGAGTTTCATTCTTGTCATCCATCCTGGAGTGCAGTGGCATGATCTGGGCTCACTGCAACCTCTGCCTCCCTGTTTGCCTCAGCCTCCCGAGTTGCTGGGATTACAGGTGTGTGCCACCACACCCAGCTAATTTTTGTATTTTTAGTAGAGATGGGCTTTCACCATGTTGGTCAGGCTGGTCTCAAACTCCTGACCTCAGGTGATCATCTCACCTTGGCCTGACATTTCTTAAAAAAACAAAACTAAAAAAACACTCAACACTTTCTTACAAAATTAGAAATGAAGATCTATGTTCCCAAGGTAAAGCAGAATGGCCAAGAACAAATATTTGGTTTAGTTTTAATATGCTGAAGATTTCTGACCAACAGAAACCTGTCAATTTACCAGATATTAAAAACAATAACTGCTACCAGTGAAGAATGGAGCTTAGAACAGACAGCCATATTCTAAATGTCATCTTGAGGTTCCTATGCTTCCTGTTCATCTGGTAAAACTATACACAGTTAACATTAGAGTCAACGGTCTCTAAACCAGCAAGAAGTCTGATACCAAAATTACTACTTTCTTGTATAGAATAGACAATGTATTTTCTATATAGGACATTCGTTTTAAAAACAATCTTAAAATAAGATCAACCTTTCAAAAGGCATAACAAATCTGATAAATGTAGTTTAGAATAGTTATTTTCCAAAAATAAGAAGTTTGGCCACTTGAATTCAGTTCACATTCCAACAGCTTAAAAGTAGTCAGATGTTTCACAGGTAGCTTCCCCTGGTAACAATAAAAGTTGCTATAAAATACAGCAGTATATAGAAGCAACCTTAACGGATTGTTTTTCTTTCATTTATTTTATTTTATTTGAGATGCAGTGTTGCTCTGGTGCCCAGGTTGTAGTGCAGTGGTGCAATCTTGGCTTACTGCAACCTCTGTCTCCCGGGTTCAAGCGATTCGCCTGCCTCAGCCTCCCCAGTATCTGAGATTATAGGCACATGCCACCACGCTTGGCTATTTTTTGTATTTTTAGTAGAGATGGGGTTTTGCCATGTTGCCCAGACTAGTCTCAAACTCCTGAGCTCAAAGTGATGTGCCTGCTTCAGTCTCCCCAAGTACTGGGATTACAATACAAACAAGCGTGCGCCACCAAGCCTGGCTGTTTTTCTTTTAAAGAAAAGAAGTAAATATTTACTTCTATTTTAAAAATTTGAATTATAGTAGTCTATAAACAAGTATTCCCTAATCCCCTTCCTCCCAATAACTGAATAAAGGACATACCTCAGAGGGTGCTTGCTGTGTGCTTATATAATAGATAAGAAACAACCTCATTTTATCTTCTGGAGTTCCTGCTGCATAGGGGAAAAGAGGTTAAAAAAGATTTTCATAATTGTGGTTATTATGTATTATAGTCAACGCAAGTATGTTACATTTCAAGGGATATACAAATGGGACAAAACAAAACAGGGCTCTTGACTTAACTGAGTTAAGGTAACAGGCACTATAATTACAACCATGTAAAATACAGATATAGAAAAGATTAAATGAGGTGGGATTAGAGGATTACCATTCTTTGTGTGTAATTATGGGAGCCACTCTATTGTATCTTCCAAACTGTGTATAGTGTTGGGATTTCCCTTTTAGATGTAAACTCACAATGAAAAGAAAGAATATAAGTAGAGTAACCATACAATTCTAAAACAGGAAACTTTTGAGGTGGCAAAAGGGGTGCCAGTCACAATTACAAAAGGACAACTGGTATGAAAGTGGGACTATCCTGGGTAACCAAATGTATGGTCACCCTAGGAATTGGGTTATGAAACTTTTCTGGCTAAACAAAATCATATAGCTGAGCCTAAAGCCATACTTCTCAAACTGGGGGCCCCTAAATAAACATGTTTCTGAAGGCTTTTATATTACTATAAGGATGGGAAAACCATATATTTTTATTAAAAAAGTATTGTTATATGATGTATATTTGCCTCAAATTTTAAGACAAAACATAAGATTTCAAAGAAATTTCTTGCTTACAGTGCTCTGAGTTACTACTCTTGTTATCCAAAGCCCAAGTCCAGAGAAACTCATTTACTGTCTGTTCTATCATGCGCACTTTGGCGGAAATGTGATAAAGCACTGGTGTCAACAAATAACAGTATTTAGTCTCACTTCAAAGTGTATCCTAAGATGCAAGAACACAGAACTGTCATATTTTATTATAGGATAAAAACTAGTTGATTTTTTTTTAAACATGATGACTGATAAGACATTGATTTTTTATGATTTGCAACACTAAAACTCATTTTCAAATTATCCTTACTCCCTGAATATGACAAAGAATGACAAAATAAAGATCAATCGTAAGTTCTCTAAAGTTCTCATGTTTACAGATAAATACTGTATCTGGGGCATTTGAGTATTAGGTTATGAGACTCCTTGTCCTCTTAAATCCTAGGACAATGCTGATATTTTTGTTTTAGCAGGTAATTAGCCTGAAGGAGTACAGGCTAATGTTCCTACCAGTCTTCTGTGGTTATTTTTCCATCATATTCTTCCATCATTAATTCTATTTTCAAAACCTTTTGCAGTGCTACTGGATCTGTCCCACTAACCAGTGGTCAATCTGGTGACTGGAAGGTGGTCTTCTAGCCCTTCACCTCTTAGGTTTTGAAATGCTGTTTAGGATCAGCTTCATATATGTGCAGTTAAGGGGTAAACCCAGGAATTCATGACCAACTTTACAAGGTTGCTTTCCTGAGGTCCTTCCTTTCTACAATCTCCCTGGTACTTTCCCATTTCCTTGGCTTTCTCTTTTTGGTGCTGCAGATAGAAAGCTTTGGCTTTGGTCACCCTGCTTCATGGGGCACTTCTTGCCATAACTGCTGCAACTATGACCAACCAGCTAGAGGACAAAGCGAGAGAGTAATGAGGCTTGTCCTACCTACTTGTGACCATAGATCCTAATATACAAGGGGAAGGTTCCCCTCCATCAGAGTTTTAGGGGCCTGTGGATCCCTGAGGTTGCTTTCAGTATCTTCAGCAACTAGTATAGCCTTATTTAGTTTGCTTAAAGAAGGAACAGTTCCCATTCTTCTTCAAGGGGAAACATACTTTAAAACCGCTACAGTGTTAATAACTGCCTTAGATCATCTGTTAAGGTTTTAAAGACCAATCTGATGGTAAGGGCTGGGGAGCATACTGATGCATACAATGACAACCACAGAGAAATCAAACTGAAATTGTTGGCATGTGTCCTTTACACCTGTGATTATTCTAAAGCCTGTAGCTACAGCCTGGAACCTCTTATCACACTTATCTCTCTCCTTTGACTGCTATTTTAAAGTCAGAATTCCCTCACTGATTAATATGATGTATTTTAGAGAAAAGTTTTGAAAATGTGGAGTTTGGAGAGCTTTTGTTCTTCCTGAAATTTTGAGAGTAAGATGCTGACCTGCTGTCCTATCACCCCCGATGTCAAAGACATTCCCTAACACAACCTCAGTAGAACAGTTAGCAAAATCTGATACTAACGTTGATATGTTACATTGATGTGATATACTACATGATACATTCGTTACCATTTAATCCTCAGATCCTATTTCAAGTTTTACCAATTATGTCTAGAGTATGTTTTATGGAAAAAGGATCAATTTCAGAATCATGTGCCACACACAATGTCATGCCTCTTTAGTCTTCTCCTGTACGAAGCAGTTCCTCCATTTTTCCTTGACTTGCATGGCCTTGGGTTTTTAAGAATATAGGCTGGTTTTTTCCTCGAATATCACACAATTAAATTTTATCTAATACTTCCTCATTAGATTTACATTACCAAGGCAAGACTATCACAACAGTGATGCTGTGTTCTTTGCATTGAATCCTACTAGCCCTTTACCTCTGAGTCTTTCCTGAGCTCCTCCCTCTCCCCAATCTGCCTAGTACTATTTCCCACTATTTTATGTCTCGACTGATGATGTTCACTGTGATTACCTAATAAGATATTTATCAGGTTACTTTTTCTCCCTTACAGTTAAGTATTTTGTGGGAGGGTATTCTGAAACTGCATTAATATCCTATGAAATTTCAATTTATTCATTTATTATGTCCACATGAACTCTTAGCATCCTCTTTTATCAGTGGGCTATAATCTGTTATTATTTATTTTGATGCTCAAATTGTCATTATCTGGAGCCTCTTCAAACGGACCTCTGGGTTTTTTTGACATGTTCCATCATTTTTGGAGTGTCTTCCTTGCCTTCTGATACAACAAAAATTGTTCCAGACTCATTTTGTACTTTTGCTCCCTGCCCGCCTCTAGAATCAGCTACCTCTCTAAGGAGTCACAGTGGAAATTATATTTATAAGCAGAAATCTCTACTAGTTGGGTATTGCTGCTCCCAGTCCTCTTCAGTTGGTGGAGGTAGGGAATATATGAGTGCACACACACACACACACACACAATCTATATTTATTTCTATATCTGAACAAATATATAATGAAAACGCTAAGTTCACACCAATACCTCTAATTCCAATCCAACACTACAGAGTTCATTCTAATTTTTTCCCCTTCTATATTTATAAATTCCTTCTCTGACAATGGGAAACTGGGCTTTCTTTATATTATCCAATATATTTAATGGCCAGGTGTGGTGGCTCATGCCTGTAATTCCAGCACTTTTGGAAGCCGAGGCAGGCAGATCATGAGGTCAGGAGTGCGAGATCAGGCTGGCTACCGTGGTGAAACCCTATTTCTACTAAAAATACAAAAAATTAGCTGAGCATGGTGGCACGTGCCTGTAATCCCAGCTACTCAGGAGACTGAGGCAGAAGAATTGCTTGAATCCAGGAGGTGGAGGTTGTGATGAGTGGAGGTCGTGCCATTGTACTCCAGCCTGGCAACAGAGCAAGACCCTGTCTCAAATATATATATGTATCTCCCCTGAATATAACAAACATCCCATCTCTGCTTCCATCCCCTTGCAGCATGGATGCCCTTTTTACTTCATTTGAGCTCTGATTTCCTGCAATGGACCCATACACATACCTAGACATATTTCTCAACCCACCTAGGCCCAAGCTGGGTTGTTCCTGTGTGGGGTCACCCACCTCAATCTGTTAGGGCTCTCACACACCTTGCTAGACTGCTACCACATGTAGATGCTCTCCTGAACTTTGACATATAATGCCAGATTACTAATCTTCTCTTTATCCCAAGAGTGGATGCCCTTAGTCATCTTGCTCAGGTTCCAACATCTTATTCTGGACCAAAGTACCAGTAGACTGGTACTTTGCATGAATGCCTACCTTGCTCTACCCTACTTAGTATCTTTAGGAATAAATCATTTGAGAAAGGGGAAAGGAAAAAGCAGGACTGACTGCCTTTTTGTCAACATGCTTTTTTTGTTTCAACTTTACTCAAAAGTTACTATGAATAACAAGGAATAGCTCAGAAATGATGGACTTATATAACTTTGAATTTCATTCACTGTAAAATGCATATACCTTTAAAATGCTATGTTCTCACCACAGATCTAGCTTTCTAAAAGTGTGAGCAATACTTATGGCTTCTCAGACGTTTTTATAAATAGAATCTTTAATTATAAAACAGTTTGGACCTTTAAATTATTTTCTAATTTAAAATACAGTTTAAAATTCATAACAAAACAATAACCAAAAAACCATCATCATGCAGCTTGAATAGCTTATATGCAAAATGGGTCCTAGGCTTTCCATTTGTTGTGGAAAAAGCTGAGATTTGAATTCAAAACTATTCTGAAGTGATTTACAGGTCTCTAAAGTTTAGGGAATTTCAGAGGCTAAGACTCTATGTAGATCCCACAATCTTTACAATTAAAAGCCACAATTGGTTTACATTAAAATTTTTTTTACTGTTTTTCCCTGTGAGTTTTTTTTTTTTGAGACAAGGTCTTGCTCTATCACCTAGGCTGGAGTGCAGTTGTGTGATCATAGCTTACTGCAACCCCGTACTCCTAGGCTCAAGGCATCCTCCCATCTTAGCCTCCCATGTAGCTGGGCCTACAGATGCATGTGACTCTGCCTGGCTAATTTTTTTCTTTTGGTGTATATGGGGTATTGCTTTATTGTCTAGGTTGGTCTCAAACTCCTGGGCTCAAGAGATCCTCCTGCCTCAAGCTCCCAAAGTACTGGGATTACAGGCATGAGCCACCGTGCCTGGCAAGTCTTTACCATTTTTAAGTGCACAGTTCAGTGGTAAAAAATATATTTATACCTTTTTTTTCCCTTCATTCCCCCATCTCTCTACCTTCCTGGCCTCTGGTAACTACCAATCAACTCTGTATCATCATGAGATCTACTTTCTAAGCTTCCACATGAATGAGAACATGTGATATTTGTCTTTCTGTGCCTGGCTTATCTCACTTAACATATTGGTCTCCATAGATCACATTTTCTAAGTACAAATAGTTATATTTTAAGAAAATCTAACATACAAATATTTAAAGGGATTGGCCATAGAGTTCCTTTAAAAGTAAATTCCTTAAACATGTAAAACAGAATTCAGTTTTAGATACGCATTTTCAGGAAACTCAGGGTACACCAAAGTAATTGGGAAGCGAATCACTTAGAGACACTTGATTTGAATGTTATACTTTCAAGTCTTCCTGGAACCAGCAGAAATTAAGCTTTACATATATTACCTTAAACAAGTGAATTACAAAAATTGCTTAAATACTATCAAATACAAGTTCAAGAAATGAAATACAAATCCTTTTTCCACTGTAGGAACTGCTAGGTTATGAAATTTTCCCAGAAAATGCTCATTTAATTACCTTGATACTAGCATTGTCAGAAATACAACAATTCTATTCAAAATTTACTGAAATTGAAAATGCTGGTTTCATCAGATATGAAACTTACATCAGCCTCAAATTTATGGTACATACCATCAGGGTCTGATATTATATCTAGAAGAGATTTATCCAGAGTAGTTTTGCTCATTATTTTTTCTTCATATTCAAAATATACATCCAATTTTCTTGCCTGTTTCAAAATAAATATTAGATGAGAATACATTAATAATAAAAATACATAATGGTCTACTAACCTTCTAAGTTTCTATTTTCTATGATAAAATGCTCATTTTTTTTCTTTGAGACAGGTCAAAAGTACAGTTCAAAAGTACCAGGCTAAAGTTCAGTGGTGCAATCTGAACTTCCCAGGCTCATGTGATCCTCCCACCTTAGATTCATGAGTAGCTGGGACCACAGGCATGTGTCACCATGCCTGGCTAATATTTTTGTATTTTTTAGAGAGATGCGGTTTTGCCATGTTGTGCAGGCCGGTCTTAAACTCCTGAGCTCATGAAATCTGCTTGTTTCAGCCTCCCAAAGTGCTGGGATTACAGGTGTGAGCTATTGTGCCTGGCCTTTATTTCTTAACAGGATTTAAAGTATCTTACTTTTGAACATATATTTAATACAGAAAAAAAAAAACCAATAGATTATTTTGTTTACCATATTTGATGGATATTCAGCAGTAATTCTGCATACCATACAAACATTACAAAGATAAAAACACGATTCTTAATTATTGTATTAATTAGTAACTGGCATACAGGTCATATTGTACTCCATGCAAAATTAATGACAGGTGGTCAAGTTATGTTTACTTTTTTAGCATGCAAATCCATATACATTCACCTTTACTAAATGGAAAGTTACCTTAACTATTTTCCTTGTTTTTTTTGAAAAAAAACCTTTTCCTCATTAGTTTTCCTATTTAATATCTTAAAGTTTAAGATCATGGAAAATTAGTAAAACTTTGCTGTGTGAGACCTTTCCTAAATGAAAATTTTGTTGATTAAAACTATCCAAAAAGTTAACATATTAAGATCTTCCAAAGTAAATAAAAATTACCAAATATCTCTTAAATTATGCTCCAGGTAATATGAGAGAGCAAAGAACATTTTGTTCAAATATCCAACACAGAACCAATATATAAGTATATAACATAAATATACTATGCTAGGAGGCAGAATGAAATAAAAAGCCAATTGTGGAGGAGGAAGTGACACATTCTCAGTTGAAGTTTGAAAGTGACTTCGGGACATATGTATAGTTCATTTCAGTTAAACAGATCATGCCAAGGCACAACAAAGTAGAAACATCTAAACAGTAGACAAAGGAGTGAATTTCATATGGAGCAACAAAAAATCAGAATCCCCACACTCCCACTCCCTTGCAGGTGCATGCAAGGCCAAAGTTTTACAGATGAAATACCCAGAAAGTTCAAAAATGAATATGGCATAAAAAGATATATACTGAGAAGTCTTATTTCTCACCCCTGGTCCTCTTTCACCCCTTTTCTATCTGCTTCTGTAGGTATTCGTTTTATTATTTCTTCTAGTTTTTCAGAGTTTCTTTGTGCAAATATAAGCAGCGTATATTCTAAAATCCATTTCCTTTCTGACACAAGAAGTATGATACTGTACTTTTCTGCCCTTTTCTTTCCCTGAGCAATAAATTCTACATCAGCACGTAGAGGGTTCCCTATCAGTGAGCTCTTATTTATGAAATCTCCGGCCCTTCATATTCTTCAGACTCTCTGATACAGTAACTACTTTAGCTACTCTATAAAGCTATTTTAATACTACAATAGATACAAAGTAAAATCTTAGAAATGAGAAAGTCCTACCAATAATATTAAAAATGAACAAAAGAAATATAAGAGATCCTAGGAAAAAGACCACAGTAGTGGCTGTGGGAATGGAAAGGTCAAGATGTGTATTTAATAATTTATATGAGAAAGGATATGGAATACAAAGTAGTAAAAGAAGAAAAAGAAAACTTTGGGGAATGACAATGATGACACTAGGAACTGGTAATGTGAATATTAGCTTAGGAAAAGCTGTATGGGCAGAGTGAAGTCAGGAATGGAGGGGGAAAGGTGCTAAAATAAGGTGCTAAACTGACTTTCAGGCCCTCTGATCCAGCTAACCTTTTCTGTTTTTTTTATTATTCACTAGATTCAGTTTCCTCTAGTCATACCAAATAGTTATTTCATTAAACTTGTAACATTTTATGAAATACTGTGTTCACTTTTAATTCTCTAGTCTTAGGCTCAAGTTTTCTCTTAGCTTTTACAGAATATACTCCTCCTCTACCATCTAACCAGTGAATTCTGCTCATTCAAGTTCTACCTTCTCTGTAGTTTTTCTGCAACTTTCCTTCAATCCCTGCTCTCTCCCCTTTCTGACCTTCTCCCAGTCTCTTCCTTGGCCACAATAACTCATTACTCCCTTAACTGTGTATTAACAGCACTTTATATACCTCATGATAATAACAACTATCACAGTATATGATAATATAATAACATCATAATAACCAACTATCACAGTCCTTGGTTTATGTGCCTTTCTAAAACTGTAAACAATTAGAGCATGTCTAATTGTTTAAATCTAGGGGTCTAACACAGCACCTGGCTTAAAACAAACACTTGCGTTTATTCAATTTCAAAACCAAGAGGACATATACAGACCAAGTAATCATTTTTAAAAGTCATGAACATAGATGAATGAACTTCTAGAAGTGAAAAACATAAAGAATCTAGTCTTTTATGACTGAATATATAAAACTCAGTATGCTAAGGTGCGGTGGCACAGGCCTGTAGTCCCAGGTACTGGGGAGGCTGAGGTGAGAGGATCACCTGAGCTTCGGCATTTGAGACTAGCCTGGGAAACACAGCAAGACCCTGTCTTTAAATTAAAAAATAAATAAAAAATAAAAAAATTAACTATGCTAAATGCCATAGCAGAATTTAATTTCTGAAACTATATAAATCGGTAAAAAAAAAACGTGGCTCACTGATTTATGTGAATATGGGCATTTGATTCATTTTGCTCTTTTTGATGTAGTAACTTACTTATAACATCAACTTCTGATGAACAATGGAAACAGGGTCCAAAAACAACTTAATGTGACTGGTACTAGGTAAAGAGTTTCTTTTTGAGGTGACAAAAATGCTCTAAAATTAGACTGTGGTAGTGATTGCAACAACTGTAAATATTCTAAAACCTGCTGAATGATATATTTTAAATTGATGAATTGCATAGTATGTGAATTACATCTCAAGAAGGCTGTTAAAAGTAACAGCTCTTTAATATACTGACTCTGAGGGAGCACCATCTAAGAGGAAAAGAAGTGGAGTTCTGTACAGATTTTCTAACCTGCATAACAGAACTAGTATCTCTTCAGCACTTGTCATGTAAAAGGTACTTTACTTTTAACTATGGCTTTCAAATGTTTTTAAAGAGAGAGCCTCAGGACCTCTTTCTTAATCCAAATCTTCTGCAGAACCCTAAACATAAAATAGATACAAGAGATCCATTAATATCTCCATACAGCTCTAGGACACCAGAGAATAGTTTTTAAAAACTACTAACATTCTCTCATTTAATTCTCCAAATAACACTATGAGCTAGGAATTATTAATATCATTTTAAAGACGAAGAAACAGACATACGGAAACATATAAACCCTATGTAAATACAAGTCATGTTGTGGGGAGAAAAAGTTCAATTTACCTTTATATGTTCTAAAACAGCAGTGGCAACATTTGTATGGAGATCAATAAGTCTTTTTTTCTCAAGGAGTTCTGGTAAAGAACTGCAAATATCAAAATATTAAATATTAGCCAATACATTTTCTAAAGTGATATAGACTTTATCTCATGCCTGGGTATCTCCTCTGTGGAAACTCAGAACAGTGAAACAGTGACAAGATGACAAGTTAAACTATCAACGAATTTAATCTCTAGGCTTAAACACCTACAGTATTTATTACTTTAATACAGGGGAAATGCTTCTTGTTGCAAAATAATCTGGCTCCCAAATATCATTTCTACCATCTTACTTTCTGATTCCAAATTTTGGAGGCTTAAATAAAATCAAATTAATGGAAACATCCTTTATCTGTATTTCTACAACACATTTCCTCCCTCCTTCTTAATGGCATTCAAAGTACAGAAAAACTGCTTAACTTTTAGTTAAGAAAATAGTATCAATAATTAAATTAATAATCGCTTGCTTTACTTTATCATTAATAGTATTTTCCTTGTAAAATTACCCCTATTACACAGTTCTAACTGGTCAAAGAAACGAACGATCTCCTCTATCTAAGAGGGAACTAAAATCAGCTTAAACATTTAGTTAAAAATAATTGAGTTCTTTAAATTCAGTTATATTTGCTATTGCTTACTATTTCCTACTAGTTAAAAACATTAATAATTTTTTAGTCATATAAAAATAAATAAATCCAACAACAGAAAGACTTCAAGCAGAATATACTGCTCACTTACCTAACAGCTGATGTTAGCTTAGCGGTATTGTCAGAAAGCATACTTATGGCTCCTTCATCTTCCCCTTCTAGTCCCTTGTAAAGAAAAAAGATCCTAATAGCTACTCAAAAATCACAGGCCCAAGCATAAAAATCAACATATTCCTAAGATCACTGATATATAGTAAGATTTTTAAGTCACCTAGAATAGCAATTCTCCTCCTCTGAGGTGCAAGCATATATATTTATGACAGTTACATAAAAGTTCTAGTCATTGCAGTCTAATGGTTAGATGACTAAATAATCAGCTGGCATTTTTGGATAAGGAGACAGGCCCAGAGATGTGCTACAGGTCACAGCAATAAATAGTAGAGCTGAAATCTCAAGTTAGATTGATACATGTTAGAATGAGCAGTACTGGAACATGTATCTCTAAAATGAAGCTACATTATATATTTTTTCAAATCATATTTATATTAATATTTAAAACATTTCTCAATATTTAGATTTTTTTGGTCATATATGTAAGCTGAAAATATTTTTGTTATAAAAGCATTAAATGGCCTTGAATTTTTATAAGGGAAAAAAACCCAAATCTCTTTATCTAACAGATAACCCTCCTCTTTCCTATAATTCTTAGAAAGCAAATAGAATCTTACCATAATGCTTTTAAGTCGTTTGACCTCATCTTCCTGTGCTCTGTAAGATTCTAGTTCTTGCTGAACTGATTCTGCAACTTCTGGGAATGGACTAAAACAGTAGTGCACAAGAACTATGAGTATGACATTAAAAGACTGCTTTTTATGTGAATCCTAAAATATATACAATGAATATTGTTTTAACTATACTTATTTGGATTTGAATATATTTTATATATAACAAAGGCAGAAAACATTCGGCATAAATGCAACTACATGTCTTTCTGATACCCATATAATAAATACTATTTCTTTAAAATGCATATAATACTTACATATCTAAAAGTTAAATTTCATTTATATTTTTCATTAACAATATCATATATTCTCTTCACCTGTATGCTTTTAGAAGAAAAAGTAAAATATTTACATGACTGAAAATCAATGGAAGACAAGTCATGGTATATCAAATATCAATTCAATATTCCTACCCAAATTAACACATAATGTCAAAGGGCCCATGCAACTACAAAGGTGGCATTTAAAAATATCACCTGCAGGTAACTGTGAAAAAATTCTTGTAACTCAGAACCCATAATATCCCAAAACACTACTGGTAAAAAAAGCACCTGGGCCACAGTTTTAGTGGTCTGATACCTGCTGTCTTCTTCCAGGACATTGCGGGTTAGCAGTAACTTACATAAACTTTAGGCAGAAGTGATCTGGAATCATGAGCAGCTCAGGTAAAAAACACTGTACTAATCTTGACAAATTCTAGATGAATACATGTTGACCATAAAATATTTCTTAAAATGAAATTTTTCATTTACAGCCTGTGGCGGGGGTGGGGGCAGAGGCCTTTCTTTCTTTAAGAAAGAAGAGGTCATGTCTCATCAACAATGGAACAAAAATCTTTCTTCCCTTCTTCAGCTCTGACATTTGAAAATACCTCACTAATAATGACCACATTTATCAAATGGAAAAGTAGAAAAGATAGAAAAGACAGGAGCTCAGAAAGAATTCTGAGGAACACAGTCCAATTTTACCTCACAACCCCAGGCATTTACTCCAGCTCCAGCTGAGACTATGTTAGCAAAAAATAGCACTGAGGCCTCAGCATTGCACTGGGGAGTCAGAAACCCTTGTTACATCTAAATAAAATGGAAACTTCCTTTATAGGCAAGGTCTTACCCTCTCAGGGCCCTAGCTTTACCTATAAAATGTAGGGGCTGAACTAGATAATCCTCAAAATCTCCAATATCTTTAGGTCTCAGAGTTAACAGAGAACAATAATTGCTCACATTTATTGAGCGATTTTACTGTACATCAAATACTATGCTAAGAATTTATCTTTTTTTATTTTTTAAGATGGAGTTTCACTCGTTACCCAGGCTGGAGTGCAATGACACGATCTCAGTTCACTGCAACCTCATTTAATACTGACAAATCTGTGGAGGTTAACTATCATAACTTAAACCATTCATGTTTAAGACTGGGTGCTTTATAGTCTGCCAGACCTGGGTTCTATCCCTGGTTTTATCAATGAACGCTGGATGATTTGGGCAAATTACTTCTTTAAATTCATTTTCTCAATATTCATAAGAATCTTCTGAAACAGGGCAATAGGCAGAATTATTATTGTCCTATTTTACTGATGAGAAAACTGAAGCTCAGAGAGGTTTAAGTCACTTGTTTATCTCCAAGTATTTCTGTGCCCAGGTTACTACTGTAGTAAGATGCAGAACAAGAGAGCTATTCCTACTAAATGAATAGAAGGTTAAAGTTCTTACTATTCAACTGATCTCTTAGATTGTTTTTAAAACCTACTTTTTAAAATTAAAAATTTCCATATTTGAATAAAGAGATTTTTCTTAAGCTTTTCTCTATTAGGGAATGTCAACTTCAAAGTATGCTGTATTTTCTATAAATAATGCCTCTCTAGTAAAATGTAATTTATTGTACATCACCATTCTGGAGGGAAATGTAGACTATGGAATTCCAAAGGGAAGAATATTATTTAAAATAAAATTAATTAATATAGTACCTAAAACTGCCATAGTGAGAAAGACAGTGACTTTTTTCTGCAGAGCAAGTCAAATCTTTGTTATGGCAATTTGATTTTCCAGCTTAAAAAAAAGTTTTAAGTGAAAAAAAGATAAAACATATTAAAAACCCAGCATGTTGAACCTAGTCTATATTCTACTTCTCTTTAAGCAATAAATATAAGACCAAAAGAACAGCTACATCAAAGACACACACACACATTTTGGAATATTTTTTAAAAATCATATATTCATAATTGTTTAACAGTGTTCTTCTTTTTCTCTGAGTAATTTTTTTGTTTGTTTAGAATGATTGCTCTAGCCATAATGATCACTAGAAAACTTTTATAGCAGTAACGGAGCCCATGAAGTATCCGAAACTTTAAGGGGGCATAGCATCACATGGGATATGTATATCTGCTCATAGTAAATCACATGGCAAATTAATGCAGTTTTTTCACTCATTATTTCTAATGTACTTAGAATAAATTTCTAGGCTTTAGGCTTAGGTACTCTCTCCACAGATATCTAAAATAAGGTTTACATGAGGGCAACATGGAACAAAAAGAAAAAAAATCACCCCCCACATCACAAAAACCAATTTCAAAGAAAGGCAGGGATGGTCTTATAGAGTCGGTGGAGACAGCAACAAAATTGAAAGACTACCTGTAATATCTTCAAAATTACATGGGATGCTCTCATGGAAAAGAGAAGTGATCCCTATAAGATAACAATTAACAAAAAACAACCTAGAAATCAGTGAGAAATGGAGAAATAAAGACAAATATTTATGGACTATTTAATTATAGCTCCCATTCATTGTGTGAATGAACCTACATGACCCTTTTGAATTTTTTCTCAAATTCATTAAGGCGAATGACACCTTAATTTCTCTTTAAAAAAATGAATCTTTTACTTATTGATATTTTGCTTACCTTCCTTTATGTTTTTGCCAAAATTTATCAACTGGAGTTAAGTCATAAGACTTCTTGTTTTTTCTCTTTGGTCTAGCACCAGCTGGAGAGTTTTCCACCCCTGAAGTTTCTTCCAAATTAACCCTGTTTAAATGAAAATCCTAGGAAAAAGTAATCTTGTGTTAAAGAACTGTTTTCTAAGTCTAATCAAAATAGAATCTTGTTGCCCTTTCTAGTATTTCCAAGGACAAAATATAGATCTGAAATTTAAAAGACTTCCTCCTTTCATTATACAAATGTAATTTTATTTCTGTATTTTAATGAAAATATTAGATGTATATATGATTAAAATTTCAAACAAGAAAAAGAAAAAAGTTAGTATTTTTATGTATCCTTACAGAAAAAAATTTATGCATATAATAGCATATATATATCCTCTTAATTTTATTTTAAAAAATGGGAACACCATATACATATGCTGTATCTTTTTCCATCTAATAATACATTTTAGAGCTCTTTCTATATCTGTATAAGTACAACTTCATCTTTATCATAATTACACAGTAGTTGAATGTTTGGCTAAATCAACTAATGTGACCCAGCCTCCTCAGGCTTGGTCGTTTCCAGTCACAAACATTAATCTGAAATATTTTTAAACTCTTAGAGAGTCAACATTCTGATGTGTCACTTGAGTGATGAACTGCAATTTAAAAAATTACAATAGATGCGATAATAAATAATAAATGATGCACCTCTTTCACATATTTAAGAGTCAGGCCAGTAGTTGCTAAACTTTCTTGCCTAGGACTAATTTCATTTATGTGAGGCTTGCTTTTTGTACCCTTTCTGTAAAAACAACAACAACAACAACAACAACAATAAAAACCCAAATCCAAACCCAAAACAAAACAAAACCGACAAAGAAACTATTAAGCAAAAATAAAAGTAAGTATCTTTTTTATCTTTCCCCCAACTTCTTGCATTACATCTATTGGTTCCCTCACAGACAGCAGCATTTTATGGTTCAATGCCAACTCAAGAATAGTGAGAGATAAAACATGGTTATCAACAAGGAAATGACTAATAAAGAAGAAAGCTACAGTATGGAGAAATTATCCAGCATGACTGAAATATAATCATCGTGGTTCTAAGGTATCTGTATGCATTTTAAATTAACAATTATTCTAGCTCTTAGCAAGTTAAATATACTGAATGCAATTCAATCTCCTCTAGGTAAAACAAGGTTATGAATACTGACTCTAGGTCCCTAACATAAACCTTGTAACTTTCTCAAATAAATCCTTTATAATAGTTCAATAGTTTTATTTCCGTGCCATTTTTCTCTTTGACATAAAAAGCAGGATTTGAAAAATTACGGATGTCTAATTGTCATAGTAGAGTAACATGTCTGTTTTCTTTTCTTTTCTTTTTTTTTGAGACGGAGACGGAGTCTTGCTCTGTTACCAGGCTGGAGTGCAGTGGCGAGATCTCAGCTCACTGCAACCTCTACTTCCCAGGTTCAAGAGATTCTCCTGCCTCAGCCTCTTGAGTAGCTGGGACTACAGGTGCACACCACCAGACCTGGCTAATTTTTATATTTTTAGTAGAGATGAGGTTTCACCATGTTGGCCAGTATGGTCTCTTAACCTCGTGATCCTCCTGCCTTGGCCTCCTAAAATGCTGGGATTATAGGCATAAGCCACCGCCCCTGGCCTAACGGGTCTATTTTCTATCTAATAAGTTATAGAAGCAATGAGGCAGCCTTCTTTTACTTGTATGTGAAGTCCATCAAAGAGAAAAATAAAAAAGCACAGCTGTCTTTTATCTGCAAGACACTATTCTTAGCACCTTATATTAAGTCATATGATCCTTACAATAACCTGTAGAAGCAGTAATAAAATTTCCATTCAAGATGAAAAAACTGAGGCATAAAGAAGTTATACAGAAATACGTGACAGAACCAAGATCAAAACCTAGGCAATCTGACTTTAGAGGCACTGCTTTTAAGCATTGTTTTAATTGTATCAAGAGTTGCAAGCTAGAACAGAGTGAGTGGAATTAGATTCTATCACTTGAAATTCCCTGTAGTGCAGAACATGGGTAGCCTCTGGTGATAAACAGGCAGTTTAAAGACTAAAGAGTTACAATAAATGGTTGGAATGACAAATAAAAGTATGTTATATTTCAACCTATTACTGTCTTTCCTACAGAACCCTCATATTATCATAGGGCAAGACTATGAGTGACTTTATTCCTTTCAGTTTCCCATCCTTGTATCTAAACTTCACTTTGCACAAAAATCCATAGAGGAAGAAGGTCAAAATAGCACAATTGTGGAAAACCATTTTAAACAATAACAGCTACATCTGGAAAGAAGCCTAGCTTTAAAAAATTATCTAGCAAAAAAATTATCTAACAAAACAAAAGATATTGAAGAGAAACATCTTTAAACAGTTAAGCTTTATTAACTAGAATTTCTAGTGAAGTACTATTTCCATGGTGATGGCACAGCTCATTCAAAATAAGTTAACTTGCTAACAAAATTACCGCTCCAAAAGTAGGAGAACATGTTATTACTGAAGTATTGATGGAATACTTAAAAGGAAACACAAAATAATAAAGGAATAAAAGATGTTAAGAATTCTGAGAAATAATTTAATAGCAAGGACATTTCCATTGTTTGCATAATAGCAAGGCAAATAAAGGTAATTTCAATCTTTGTAACATGGTAGAGTCTAATCTGTTTCCATTGATAGTCACATTTTCCTAACTTAAAAAATAGGACAATGGTGCCCCAAATCACTACATGTAAATAAATCCCATCAGGAATTGATAAAAACACGGAGAAGCCTTCAGTGGTCTCGTTTTCCTTTCCCAAGTTAGAGCACATCGGTAGAGCCAGAGAGGGTTAATGTTAACAAAATAATCTGGATAATATAAGCAATACCTATTTATGCAGACTTGAAATTCATAGGCAAAGAAAAGCAAAGTAAAATAAAAGTATCCTTTATTTTGGCAAGAATTTACTATCTCCTTAACTCTAAATGCTGTTACAGCAATCATTAAACAACTATTGATTCAACAGATGTTATTACTGATTTACATCTGGAGTAATTCTGGAGTCATAATACAAAGCCAGAGCTTTCATACTGAGGTGACACACCCACAAGACTCCTACTATCAAATTAACCAAAAAGAGAAATAAAATACAAGAGATAATCTATTTAAAACTAGGGAACACATATAAATACTTGTTGATAACAATGAGAATGAACAAAACTGAGGGATGTGAGGAAAAGGAAAGGAAACTACCCACTGGCTCCACCAACATCTTCCATGGCTTTGGCTTCTATCCTTACCCCACAGTAAAGAAATGTGTCATCAGTCACTTGAAGTTGAGCACACCTATACTGTCTCATCCTTGCACACAAAACTAGAGACAATTCTCATCCCCCAAAAAGAAATATTTTCTCTGGAGAAAATCTTCATCTTAGGAGTTAGACAGTTTGGGGAATAGAGGTGACACCAATGACAGAAGACATGATAAAGAAAAGTACACACAAATTCTCTAGAGCAGGCAAATATTCCTTTCTGTAAATCTCAGTTACATCTTTCATACTAAAGATTTTAATTATTAAATAAAAGCTATGAGTTTCATCACTTTTTGCCAAAGTCAGGTAAAAGACAAAATATGATCTTTAAAATATTAAATAGAAGATAGAATTATAAGGAGTAAGGATCCCTGTCTTCATAAGACAGACCAACAGACTAATACATCAGGGTTTCAATACTTATAATAGTTTCAATTAGATTCAGGTGAAATTAAAGCATTATGTAAAAAATTAGTTTTTCAAAGCTCATCCCTAAAAGTAATTTCCATGAGAGGAAATTTCAAAGATGAGGCACCTAAGCAAAATGGAATTTAAACTTATTTCTACTCTTCCAGAATGCTTCAGAACCAGTTTCTGTCCAACATTTGATAAAGTGGAGATAATGCCTCTAAAGACACAATTTACAGAACTTCCTAGAGACTATAATTCTATTTCTTATCGAGAAATCAGTTATGTACAACCATTAAATAATTTCCTACCCTCAAAGAGCATGGATAACTATGGAACTCAATGAGAAGAGATCAGAGCTTTAAGAGAATCACAAGTTACACATTAGATATTTTTTGACATCCATCACTCCACAACAGATACATATATATTAAGATGTATCTAGCTAAAATAATATAAATGTGTATTTATAATGGCACAGCTCTCCTGAGTGGCCAAAGAAACAAAATTCCCAGTCATGGTGATGATATATGGTTTTAATCCATCCAACAATTGAAATTCAAGTATTTTCTGTTTTATGCAACAGTCATCTGGTTTCTTTGGTTCACACAATCAAATGAAACTCAAGGAGAGCAAAGATTAAAACATATTTGTTACGATGAAACAGGAAGACTCAGCCCTCCACTGATGCTTCTAAATTGTGTGCAAAGTCAACAGTCACTAATGTAATTTTACAATTTCACAATACCACAACTTGTTATTAAAAAAATGGCTTATTTAATCTCAGAGAATGGGAAAACCAGAAGATGCTGTCTTTTTCACCATGGAAAATGTCTGAAAGCAAAACTATCCCAGTAGAAATAAACAGCCCTAGTATCCCAGACTGTGGTATCCAGTATTTGTCATGCAAAGGAACCAGGGGCTTTTTGAGAAATGGCTGCATCCAGATCTAAGGCAGAAAATGAACATGATTAGCTCAGGATATTTTTCATACCAGAAAGCAAAGAAGCTATCAAAGATTGATGGGGTCATGTCAAGAGGCTATCAAGGCCAACATGATAGGCCTAAAATGGGATAATTCAAGCATTAAAAGGCATGACTGTAATAGTGTAAAAACAACTCAAATATAAAAATCTGTTAGTTCATAAAACAAATGACTTAACTGATTGCCTCTGCAAATTACTAGGGTACTCACTAACTCTGAAAATTGACAAATGCAGGGAGATAAGCATTTGTCCTAAGTAGATAATAAAAAAAAGTTCTTTATATAAGCACATCAGCTAAAAAGATGGAGGAGGAATAACAGTATCAGAAAATCACCATTTGCTATCAGTAATTAAAATAAAGAGGGAATAATTATCAGTGACATTAAAACAGATAGA